CTGATATCCCTGAGGTGTGTGTGTGTTAGCTAATTTGTTAAAAGAATGGTTTCAGGAGTCATATATTAGTTACTTTCTATTGCTTTAGGAAACACCATGACCAAGGGAACTTACAAGAAGAAAGAGTTTCTTTGGGCTTAAAGTTCCAGAGAGTTAGAGTCCATTATGCAGAGTGGAGGCAGCAGGCTACAAGAATGGTAGCTAGAGAACAAAGCTCGAATCTCTAACCACAAGCAGAAGGCAGAGAACAAATTCAAAATGGCACTAAGTCTTTAAACTTTCAAAGCCCACCTCTCGTGACATACTTCATCCAAAAGAGAATACCTCCTAAACCTTGCAAACAGTACCCTCACCTGGAAAACAAATATTCAAACATCTGAGCCTGTGGGGAATATTCTCATTCAAACTGCAAGTTATGTAAATCTAGGTTATAATCCTAGCTCTGCCTCATAAATATTGTATTTGTTGTCTAAAGGCAACTAATTTCATATCTGAGCTCATTTATCTTAAGATATACATAGCAATCTCTAGTTCGTAGGGCTGTCAGTGAGGACAGAAGTTTGAAATCTGTATGGTGTCAGGCACAAGACTCCATCTATAACCTCCACCTCAAAAAAAAATCCATTAAATACATAAGGAGAAAATATCTGAGGACTTGGCAGTTAGTCTTCTCTAGATCATAATACTATAAAGACTTTTTTTGACAGAAGATCTAACACAGCCTAAGCGGGCCTTCATCTGCTGAGCCTCTTTCTTCCATCTCCAAAGTACTGGCATTGAAGTGTGTGGTGCCACTTTAGGCTTCATAAAAGATTTTATGCGTGTGCATATGCATGAAGATCCAGGGTTTCTTCAGCTTCTAGGAGTGATACTGTACTTGTATTACTGGATATCACCATCCAGCTGGACTGTGACATTGGCTGTACCAGGTATATTCCTATTACCTAGACCTAACTCCTGTTTGCAGCTTTGCTTTGAAGTGATCTTTGTTTAAAATCTTTTGGGGGTACTGTCACGTTTTAATCACAGCAGTCAGGCAAGCAGCAGAGGCAGTGGATCTCTATTGAGTTGAAGGCCATAGAGCTCTAAGCCAGCCGGGATATAGCCAGCCGTCATGTAGCCCACGCTGGCTTTGAACTCACTTCGTAGCTGAGGGTGACCTTGAAGTGCTGATCCTCCTGCTAGGATGTCTTAGATACTGAAATTACAGGAATGTGCCATCATTCTAGGCCAATGGTTCTCAACCTGTGGGTCATGACTCCTTTGAGGGGGTGAACTAACCCTTTCACAGGGGTCACATGTCAGATATCCTGCATCGCAGATATTTACATTATAATTCAAAACAGCAGCAAAATTACCATTATTAAGTAGCAACAAAATAATTTCATGGTTGGGGTCACCATAACATGTGGAACTCTATTAAGGGTTGCAGCTTTAGGAAGGTCGAGAACCAGTGATCTAGGCTAATTGTAAATTTTTGACATTTTACCACTTCATTTTCAAAAGTTGTATCTGCATATAACTTCCTGGAGAAGGTAAACACAGACAATAGGCATGTACTGTTAAACAATTAAATGTTTCATAACTTAAAAAATTATCACACTGGAGAAACAGCTCAGTAGTTAAGGGCACTTGTTCTTATTAAGAACCCAGGTTTGATTCCCAGAACCCACATGGCAGTCCCAAACCATCCATAACTTCAGTTCCATGTCACCTCAAAACATCTTCTGACCTTCACTGGCACCAAGCACACATATGGTATACAGACATACATGTAAGCAAAACACTCATATAAACAACATGAATACATCTTTTTTTAAAAAATTACCTGATGGAATATAGGCTCTTTTACTTTTAGGTAAATCTGAAAAATATTAGAAGAAACATAAGTGAAGGAAGGTATATAAAAGCCCATTCCAACCACTCTGAGAATTCCAAACCTCCTCTTCCCCCATGTTATTTCAACCAGATTCCAGCCACATAAAACCAATGAGGTTAGAGGGCATGGCACAGGAGGACTAGCCCTGCCATAGCAAATGAAATAATGAAATATTTCAAATCAGTGATAGACTACTTTAGCATTGGTCTTAGTGTTACCATCAAGGAGGGTCAAGGATACAAGGTTATTCATGAAGGGTGAATAAACTATGTCAACAATCCCTTTACCATATCTGTTCTACAGTAGAAAGAAAACTGTATTCAGAGACCAAAGTCAAATTTCTAGCTCTGCTACTTGATTGCTACAGGCCTTTGCCAAGTGTCTTTTAGCTTAAAAGAATTGGTCCTTACCTGAAAAATGGAGAATGCTAAGCCCAAGTACATAAAAGGATCTAGATATTCTAGATTATCAGTAAGTGAAGACATTTAAACACATTTCTTGTACCCACTTCTGCTTCCAAACTATTCACTACCTAGATGAACCTCCAGTTACACAAACCCAAGTTTCAGGCTTCAGTGTTCTGTTGGTGTTAAGTTCAATGCCCTTGTAAAAATTTAGTATGTACACATTGTCCACAGGTGCACATTTTAAATGACACAGTACAGAGGAATCAAAATTTAAATCAACCCTTCAATGACTCTTACACTACCATGACAAAGTTCAGGTTTCTTAACTTGACATCCAAAGCCTCCTGCCGCTCCCGCCTTCCTGTCTGGCCTCACTGCTGACTTCTCATCTAATCTCCAGAAAGCACTGTGCTTCTTTGAGTACATCACTTTCATGCTTCTGCATCTGTAAACAGACTGCTCTTTACTTTGCTCAGAAGTACTCCCCAACTAGCAAATACTTTTAACAATTCAACACAAATTACTTCTCTTTGGAGTCTTTTCTGATCTCTTCCACTTCCAACAGAAGCAACTATTCACCATCTACCTATAAGTTTTATGCCAGTAGCCTTTCTAATGATGTGACACTTTATGTACAGTTCCCGGTGTTGTGGTGATCATGACCATGCCATGACCGTAAAATTCTTTCGTTGCTACTTCATTACTGTAATTTTGCTACTGTTATAAACTATAATGTAAAACATCCAATGTGCAGGATATCTGTGATGAGCCACGGGTTGAGAACTGCTGCTTTATGGCATTCTACCGCTTTGTTGTTTTCCCCTATAAGTTAGCAATTTCTTTTGATATCTAGAATTGGGGTTAGACATCTTTATGTCTTCATTTAATGTAATAATTTAATAAAACAATACAGTTTTAAAACTTAGCTGAAAATTTATTTTTGAAATAAATTTCTTACTATAAAAAGATCACAATTCCTTTTAGCAGTCAAAAGGCTTTGACTGACATATTACCTATAACTCTAAATCAATAAGGAGAATGTGTTTAATCTGTCTTTATTTCAAAATACTATCTGGAACTCACTATGTATCTTAGGCTGGCCTTGAACTCACAATCCTCTTGCTTCCATCTCCTGAGTATAGAGATTACAGCTGAGCACCAATAGGCCAGGCTTAAGGGTATGTTTCTGAAACATTCTGTTTTTTAGGCTAAGAATCATGGAGTCCTTATCATGTGCCATGTATTAATATTATAGTTAGTATAAAACATGTTCTATTCTTCATTTTATGGTAAGAAAAAAAACTAAAGGTGAGAAAGAACTAAGTAAAAATATTAGATCCAAACTGACATCCAACTGATTTCAAAGCTTAATTTGTTTCTAATTATAACATCTTTTAACTTACAAATGCCTCTAATCTTGATTTTGATGCCAACTTGCTAAATAAACTTAGTTGGCTAGGCAAGTCACTGATATTCTAGATTTTATTCCCTTCATTAATACAGTAGCAAGACTACTTTCATCTCTGAGTCTGTAGGCTTCTTTCATTATTAACTAGTACAGAGTTTAGACAAAGGAATATAGAAACTCAGGAAAACAGTGACTATTCTATTTAGCATCTTTAGTAGGTTGTTAATCTTTATTTTTCTTACCTATTCAGAGACAGCTAATAGTTACATTATCTTTTGATATTGTATGCATGCATGTATGTATGTATATGATGGCATGACTGTGAAGGTCCAAAGACAACTTCCAAGGGCAAATTCTTTCCTTCCATTACGTGGATTTGGGAATTGAACTCAAGATGCCCAGTTTGAAGGCAAGCACCTCTACCTGCTGAGTCATCTTACCATCCCTACTAACTTTTCGCTTCTAGAATGTTTGTACCCTGTGACATGAGGCTTCTTTCTTTTCCTGTATCTCTGGTTAATGTTTTTAGTCTCCTTTGCTGGTCATAGTTCTACGCAGTCCTCAAATGTCTGCATTCCATAGGGTTGTGTCTTTTTAGATTTAATAGCACACTTTATTTTGGTAACAGTTCACCCTATCCCCATATTTTTGATATAACCTACACCCAACCAACTCCTAAATCTACATCTTTAGTCCAACCTACCTGTTAAGTCCTTGGAATCATTAATACTGAATACTTCAAACTCAACATATCATAAACCAAATTTATTCATTCCTATACCATGCATAAGCTTACTAATTATCTTTCCTGAAAAAGATGCTTATAGTTCAATTATTCAATTTCAATTAAAAAGTTTCTCTTTTATTACATTGTGTGTGTGTGTGTGTGTGTACATGCACTCATGCCATGGCACGTGTGTGCAAACCAGAAGACATCTTGCAGGAAAGAATTTAGCTTTCTTCCACCATTTAGGTTCCAAGTATCAAACTTAGGTTGTTAGGCTTAGCCACAAGTCCCTTTACTCACTGAGCCATTTTGCTGGTCCAGTTTATTATGTTTTTAAGGGCATATAGTCCAGGCTGGTCTTAAACTCATTATATAGTTAAAGATGACCTCAAATATCTGATCCTCCTGTCTCCGCCTTCCTAACTTAGGTTTTGAGAATGCAGACATCCAAACAACACACTTAGTTTTATTCAGTACTGAGGATGTAGTCTGGGGCTTTCTGTGTACCTGGTAAGCACTTTACCAACTGAACTATAACTGCAATTTTATTATTTTTTATGTATTTTTTAGTTTTATTGTTTTGTTTTGTTTTTGAGACAGGGTTTCTCTGTGTAGCTCTGGCCTTCCTGGAACTCACTCTAGACCACAATAGCCTCATACTCAAGAGATCTGCCTCCCTCACCCTCCTGAGTGCTGGGATTAAAGGTGTGCATAACCACTGCCCCACAAGTTAGTTTTATACTTTAACAAAGGGACTCATGTAGCCTGGCTCTGAATCTGCTACGTAATAAGAATGACCCTTAACTCATGATCCTCCTGCCTTTGCCTCCCGAGTGCTGGGACTACAGGCCTGTCCCAACATGTTGGGCTCCATGTTTTAATTTTAAAAGAAGGTTTCGCTGTATAGACTATGTTAGCTGCAAACTTGGGACTACCATGCCTTGGCCTGCTAAGTGTTGGGATTACAGGCATGCGCCGTCACTTACAGGAGAAGCCATTCTGTCTTTGTTCTGCTTCCACCTCCTCTACTCAATGGGTCACACATCCCACTGACTGTGTACGTCAGCTGCTTTTCATCCCCACAGCTATACTACTCCAGTCTTAGTCCCATATTTTACAAAGTATGCAATTTAATTTAATCTCCTGCATTTAATTTCCAGACTCCTTTAATCAATACTCTGTTATTTAACAAGTAATGTTTCTAAAACTTGTCTGATTACATTTTTTTTTTTACTTTATGCATCAAAACTAAACTTCGACAAACTTAAACCCTTATACACAGCATGCATGGGACTGTATAACCTGACTCTTTGTCTGACTCACTAGCGCCATACTACATTCCCTCACCACACAGCAGTCACCTATATAAAACCTCTCTCAACTGTAACGATAACTTAATTGAACAATCAAGACAAAGTATACAGTAAACATCTGGCACATAGTACATTATTTAAAAAACAGCAATTAAAAAATAGCAAAAATGCTTTTCTAAGGTTTGTGTGTATGGAAACATAAAAGACTAAATGTGCTTTACCACACTGTTGCCCAGACGCCTGAAAACTCCTGTTCATCAGTCAAAATCTAACTCAAGAAACACGCTTTGAACCTTGCCCTGAACTTCTCAGACATAGTTTTGATGTACCCCAGGACAGCCTCAAGGCACCATGCCTTGTTCACGCAGTAATCCTTATTTTTTTTTCCTAAGTTCTAGGCTCAGAACAGAACATGATGTAGCCCAAACTGGCCTCAAGCCCATGTATGATCCTCACCAAGCAGTTTTCTTTTTAATTAAAATTAGGAGGGAAGTGGGGCATGCTCAGACAAAGTCATCCAGCTGAAGCTGGTGTAGCACACACTGTGGTGCTCAGGCTTATCCTTCTGCTTTAGCCTCCACATACTGGGATAGCAAGCATATATACCATTCATCTTCTTGGCTTCAAGAGTAAATTAAATTTTAAAGCATTTTATTTTATTATGTTTTGTGTGTGTGCATGCACACACATGTGCACACATGAATAAACATGGACGCACATGAGTGTAGGTGTCATGAAGCCAATAGATCCATCAAAAGTTAGAGTTAGTTGCATGTAATTCAAATGGTATAAAAGCAAAAAGGAGGGGGGGTGGGATAGGGAGTTCAGAAATGGGGAAAGGGGATGATATCTGAACTGTAAATAAATAAAATAGCCAATAAAAAACGTTAGAGTTAGAAGGTTTGTGAGCCTCCTGATGAGGGAACCTAAGTGGAGTCTTCTAAGAAGGGTATGCACTTTAACTACTGAGCCATCCCTCCAGTCCCCAAATTAATTAGTTAAAAAAATAAGGACAAAAATTACACATATGTATGATGTGCTACATGCACTCACATGGTCTTAATTGATCCTCTTTTTTCCTATCACCAGATGACAGGTTTTCACCTTTGCTCTTGGAGTCACTATCTTTTGATGCTATTCTTTGCTCTAGTATAATGAATTCTCTCATAGACAGCAACTGCTTCTGAGTTACTTTTGTATTCCTAGTACATGATATAGATTTCCAACAAATGTTCCAATTAATATTTTCTTAGTTCACGGTTAACAATGAAAATAGTTACTATAGGACCATGGTAGAAAACCTCATTTCTTGTTTTTAGTAAGTTTATCCTTAAGAAAAGCATTTTTAAACCATTGCTACTAACTAAATATTTACTCTTCAACCTTTCCTTCTTCTAAAAAAATTAAAATTTATTTTAGGGACTATACACAAGAGATGGCTCATTGGTTAAGAACACTTGCCATTCTTGCAAAGGACCCAGATTCAGTTCCCAGCATCTACATGGTGGCTCACAACCCTCTGAAACTCCAGTTCCAGGGAAATGCCTTCTGACCTTTGGAGCAACACCAGTCACACAGATGGTGCACATACACATAAACAAAACACTCAAACAAAAAATAGAATAAATAAACCTAAAATAAACTTTTAAAGGTTTTTCAATTAAAAGTAATTTTTGAAAAGGAAATAAACATGCAAAGTCTAAAAATAAGACATTCCAATTGCATAAAAATATTTTAGTTTGAATAGCTTGACATAAACACTGGGAAACTTGACTGTTTCAATCTCCTACATGGCACACCTTACTGGAGATAAAGTATAACTTACCGTGGTTACTATTAAACTGAATAGAACTAGGGTAAAAAGAAGATGGTAGTTTATTGAGCTCTTTGCCTTGAAGCACTCAAACCTTTAAAATAAGAGAGAAAGAAAATTACTTTATAATGTATAGCCAGGAACAAACTGAATGCTGCTTACAACTTGCCCAAATGCCTTTACGAATCAGAAGTACTCAGAATTTCTACCCTTCCGCCCACTGTGTTAGAAATAATAAATGCCAAGCACTGGTGGTGCATGTCTTTATTCTCAGAGCTCAGGAGCCAGAGGCAGGTGGATCTCTGTAAGTTCAAGGGCAGCCTGGCCTACAGAGTGAGTATCAGAACAGCCAGAGAGACACAGAAAAACCCTGTCTTGAAAAAACAGAAAGAAGGAAGAAAGGAATGAAAGAAAGAAGAAAGGGAGGGTGAAGGAAAGGGAAAGGAAAGGAAAGGAAAGGAAAGGAAAGGAAAGGAAAGGAAAGG